CAGATATAAACCAAGTTTAGGTGGAGTTTATTTTCGTTATGCTGACTTTTTCCGTACTGCGTGCTAGCTAGCATGACGGAGTTTCTATACAGCTGGGTGGGTGCTATGGTGTTACTGATGTTGAACTTTATTTTGTTCATAAGTTATTAGAGTTGCCAACCGTCCCGTCTGGTATTCAGAGAAAATATTACGCGTTTCTTATTGAGGTGAAAAGGAACAGTTTGTCCCGTAATTCAGCTACAATGAAAAATGCACAAAGCTGCAGTTATTCTGTGTCTTTGCTGCACAGCTGCCTCTTCTTCTTTCATCCTCACCCCTCCCTCTCCCGTTTCTACTTCAATCATGAAAACTGATCAGTGATCAGCTGATCAGCTCTCTTGTTTGTTTATCGCTCACTTTGCGCCGAAAGAGGAAACCAGCGGATGTCGCGCTAAACAACAGCAGCACGTTTAAGCTTGATCAGCTGTTGTTAGAATTTATTTAATATTAATTTCTAGTATCAGCTGATGTTTGCTGGAGCCACAGCTGTAAAGCTGCTGGTCAGGATGGTTTGAATATGTGGTGAGAGGGAAAGATGAAGATGAAACCAGGAGATGTCCTTACTGAATCATCAGAGCTGTGATGGAGAAACAGGTTTACCTTTTAGGTCACATGAATGAGTTGAAGGGAAGTTATGAACTGTTTCTGAGAGACGAATAACCCCAGGATCCTTTTTTAGGTAGCTGACAGCTGGTAACTGTGCAGGTGCGGATCTAGCAAAGTGTTGCCAGGGGTCCATGTAGGGCAGGGAGAGGGGGGCACAAGGAAATACTTTTCTTTCTTATTCTCATTTAAAATGTCTAGCTTTTAAAAAATAATTATCTGAATCTTACAACAAACGATTGATAGATTGATGCATATATACCATCAAAACAGTGTACATCACTGTCACAACAGTGTTTATTTTCATTCAAAGGCTTTAAGATTTTTACTATAATGGTGGGCGGCCTCTAGTCAAAATGCCCGGGCCAATTTTCTGTCCCAGTCCAGCCATGTATGCAGCTCATCTGCAGTCTGGTGTTGCCTACATCTTCCTATTCAGAAGGCAGAATTTCTGAGTTCTGAGTACAATCGAAAGCACCATGACTGCAGTTTTTGTGTTGGATGTAAAAGGCGCACATGACTCTGTGACGTAGGCTAGAATCATGGCAGCAGTCAATGACGGTCCAGGCGTGGGATTTCTCTCGTGGAAATATGCACATTATCTTTTCCTTTCTATTGGTAGGTGGCACAGTGCACTGTGGCAAGTAAGCAAGCTAGAAGACTGGCAACGTTATGGAAGAAACACATTAACAAGAGAATTCTGAGTAAGACCAAAGTTACTTTCCCTAGTAACTAGTTACTTTGAAAGTAACGAGTAACTTGAAGTAACTGAGTTACTTTTGAGAGAAGTAACTAGTAATGTAACTAAGTTACTATTTTAAAGTAACTTACCCAACACTGGAAGTTATGAATGGAAGATGCTATATTATGTAAAAATTTCAGTGTTTGTTATCCTTGAAGACTTCAGGTCACAGAGTGTTAGTCTCATTATAAGAGACAAAGGAAAATGTATACATTTCTGTTCTTCTGTTAAAACATTGATAAAAAACGAAAATGTAACTTTAAGACAGTGAAATTAAAACAATGCGCAAACATAAAGTACTAAAAAAGGAAGTTTAAAGATCTTGTTTTTATGAAATATAAACAAGACAATGTTTAGTGTCAGTGAATGTCTCTTTTCCTTTTTCATTCCTGTCAAGAGTTCACAATTGAAGTCTACTTCAAATTTGAACTTGAACTAGACTGGATGAATGTTTACTGATGGATGAATATTTACTGATGAGACGGATAACAAAGGTCATAGGTGTGTACTTCTTCCCACTTCTTTTCAAAACTTAAACAAAAGCAATAGGTGAAGCGTTACTGGTCTTAAACACTGTTGTTCTGAAGAGATCTTGCAAAACTGGAACTGATTTTCTGAGTTGCATTCCTGTTTTTCAGTTAAGCCTGTTTGAGCACCACTCAGCATCAGTTTGGTTTCTGGTCAGACAACTTAAGCAGTGACAGTTTGTAGATGAATGCGCCTAATTTGTTAGTCAAACATCATTATGGTGCATATGTCATACTTCCTGTTCCTGTATCTCGGAGCCAGCTGGGATGTGACATAGATGTAAAGTGTTACCTAAGGCTTGCCCAGCTTAGTCGCCTTTATCGAATTTATAGTATGATCACTTTTGACCTACATACAAGAATTGCCTCTGAATTCATGCTATTTAATATAAGATAAGATACGATAAGTCTTTATTGTCATTGCACAGTTATACATAGTACAATAGTACAATGAAATTGGAAAACTGTCCCACATCGGCACTGCGTACAACACAACACAGTAACTAATTTCAGTTATGAAAAGAAGAAGAGTGTATTTATTGCACCTTGTTATTAATATTATTATTGTTACTAGGAAGCAGTCTCGACGTTATAATTTCCATTATAGCTTTAGGAAACAGACTGTTCTATTCTATTAAAGTGCAAGACTTCACAGTTTTAAATGTTCATTTGAAATATGACCTATTGCAAGTTCCTGTTTTATAGTTTAGTGAGATGCTCGTTTCTGCTCTTTCAGCATACCTCATACACCTGTTAAGTTCACGTTGTTTGGTGCAACTGGAAAGGTTGATAAGGAAGTATGTCTATGTATGGTATGGCTGAAAACACACACGCATGCATCCACACACACACACTGAATACAGATAACGCTGTTGCTCACATATGCCTGCTTAAGACTGTCATGTGTATTTGTAATTGCATATTCACGTATGACCGCTTGTTGACAATAACAGGGAGTCAGTTGAAGTTGGCTAAGGACAGGTGAAGAAAGGAAGGTGAACTTGGCCTTGACTGACTTCCCACGCGGCCCACGAGACAAAGAGCTCTGACTTGTGTCTTGTTTTTGCCGTGCAGTTGGTGGTCTTGTGTTCCAGTGGGGTTTTGTACTTTAACCCTTTAAAACCGATTGGAGCAGAACGCTCTGTTTTGCGTAACTATTTTTAAATCCCGGTAGCACTGCAACGGCGTAAGCTAGCACAAAAATTTTTTTTGCATATGTAACCGGAGGAGTTGTACTTACATCTTATGCCATCAGCTTGTCCTAGGTCACGGTTTCCTTCCACATATAGCTTTGCAAAAACTGCATAAAAAGCACTTGCAGCAACAAAAACATAATATTCCAGAAACACGCTTTGCCGATCCGATCAGCTGTTCGTAACACTTCCTACGTTGGAATAGACGTCAGCGCGAACTTTTGCATGTCCGCTATGACCTGCCCAAAACCGGAAGTGACGTCATTTTCGCGGAAATGTATTTTTTACCATCAGGGCCTCATGAGCCTATACTGGTGTTTTTAAAAGTTATGTTTGACTTTATGACTTTCTGTGTCGTTTCTGGGATGCTTAGAACTCAAATTGCACTGCTGGAAATAGTTTATTTTGATGCATATGCTGCTTTTTTGCAAATTTGCACTATAATATTTATTTTCGTTTTTCCTGCAGTATATAAAAATTGGTGTATTTCAAAAATAAAACTATGAAGACACTCAAAATAAATTTCCTGTGGTGGGAAACTATTTTGTGCAACTTTTTTGTATTTACAGTTTTGAGGGATAAGCCTCTTAAATTTCTCTAACTACAAATATATGTTAAAAAACAAAACGATTTTCAATTTTTTTGTAGTTTATTGCACTTTTTGCAATTTATGTAATTACGATACACTTAATGCAGAAATATTAAAATCTGGGTTATAATGGTTGTATTGATGTATAGCAACTTGAAATGCTCCCAAAAATGGCTCCACACCATGTAAAAATATAATATAAGCTCTGGCGAACTTGGTTCTATGGTAGGTCTTAAAGGGTTAATAAACCCAACAATGTGATTTCCTGAGGTCAGATGGCCCAGGAGGTTAGTGGGCATTAAGGCGTCTGGGAAGGGATCTCAGAACTGGATTATAGATAGCAGAGAGTCTGTTCTGTCTCTTTGTCTGTGAAGGTTCTCAGTCATCCAGGTCATTGTAGTCAAAAGAGCTTGCAAAGAAAAGCGTCTGGACTTCTTCAAGTTGCTTGAAGACGTTTCACCTCTCATCCAAGAAGCTTCTTCAGTTCTAAGGTCAAATGGTGGGGAGTCCCAGATATAAACCTACACATCATTTTAACAACTGTGGTCCGTGTGTTGGGACAAAACTTGGCCCGCAGATCTGTGTGTACACTGTCACACACACTTTCTATGTTTTCTAATGTCTATGTACCTTGCACTGGCCTTCACACTTGCATCCTCTTACTGAGCCCTCTTGTGACAATTTTACATCTAATTTACATTCAAGTTTGCAAGTTTAAATCAAATCCTTCTTCCTGTAAATGCAACAACATTTTGCAGCCAATCAGGAAACAGCAACTTAGCTTGTAGCTAAAACAGGGAATACCAACTAAAAACAAAATCCACGAACAAAGAATTTGTAACAGTCTCTGTTTATAAGACTGTGACTGGCTCACTGATGGCTAATAATTTCTTTCTTTTTTTTTTTTAATAAATTGCTGGTTGTTTTCCAGTGTGATGTTTTCCGTATACATATATCTATTTTTAAGTGAACACAATATTTTAACATATAGATATTTAGAAGTAATCTTTGAAAATTGCATGAAGTTCTCACTAACAGTGAATACTGTTAGTGAGTATTTTAACATGCTGCCAATAAAAGACTCAATGAAAATCTGTCCCATCCAGGCAGTTTTAAACCAAAACTCTAGACCTGGTCAGGAACAAGTTATATTAAGTGTTCAGCGTAACTTACAATGATGATTTATCCAGGTAAACAGAGATATACGTTGTACCTTGCTAAGCCATTGATCTGAGTTCGTTGTACACCCCTCCGCTCTAATTACACTCCCTGCAATTAAAAAACGAAACACTCAAAATAACAAAAAATCTTCTTGATAGTTTGTGTTTTTATTTATTACATGTCAGCACGACTCCAGTCCAGCTCGAGCTTGTACTAACAGAATATACATAGTTAAGATCAATTAAAAGGTGACAAAGTGATGCTTAAAAATGCCATTATAAAAAGAACATTAAATGTGACAAGTACACTCGAAACTTTACATGTTGCTGAAAAATAAAGTGATTAGATATATACATATATATATTACACTGTGATTAATGATGTGTCCGTGCTAATGATTTTGAAAACATACAAAAATACAAAATATTTGCATAGAAAAATAACACAGATTAAGGCTTCACAGGTTTAAACATACAGCACTGGTCCTTTTTACTCTTGATATCAGCAACATGTCCTCTGATAATGAACCTGTGCTGACCTTTATTTCACTAAAATAAACTTATTTTTGGTAGTGATTGATTAATAAAATGTGGTATGTGGGTTTAAACACTTTAGAAGAAGTAAACCACTGCCCCGTGCAGACGAGCTACAACAGTGACCTCTGTAATAAACTGAGAGGTAGCAGCTTTGACAGCAGACTCTGAAGCTTTAGCCTTTTTGGCAGAACTGGACTGATGTCAGTGAAGGGGGCAGGCTGACTGGCTGTAGAGGTAATAAAAGTGAAGATCTTCAAATACTCAATAATGTGCGTAACAACCTGTATAATTTACAGGTCACGACCCATAACGACAGTTTGCCCACACTACTACCTTTCCTAACCTGACAAGAGAATCTGATTCCTGAGAGTAACCTGTGCAGATATTTATTATTGTGGTTAAACTGAGCATTTGAATCCTCATAAATGGACAAAAACAAGATTAATGCAGCATGGATCTCTAGTAGTCTTACAAAGATGTTTTCATTGCTGTGCAACAGCAGGACCCACAGTCATTCAGGAGGAAAGAGGTAAGGATTCAGATGTGCTATTTAGTGCTTTTTTAGGACTTTTCATACATTTTTTTAGTCTTTTGTAGATAATTACACCAGCAGGTATAGCAAAAATAAAAAAAGTGATCGGCACACCAGTTATCAGTGAAAGATACCAATTACTCTTTCCTCCATCCTTCTCTACTCTGACCTTCTCTTCTCGAACCTTTTCTTCTCCATTCTCGGTGTCTTCGTCCATGAAACCTGCAGAGCAGAAAGAGTGTGCAGACAAAGTTAGCAGACACTCTAAAATATATCTTCAGGTCATTCAGAGGCTTTGGCAGCACATGGGTTAGCCTGCCTTTATTCATACTAACTCTGAGTACAGCCAACCTCACTCCTACTGAAAAAGCTATGATATATTTTGGTCATTGCTGGATAATGTGCTTTGGTAATTTTGAAATAGTTTTTGAAACATCATGCTTTCATTAAAAGATTAATTACTTTGGGATTCTCCTTCTTCCAAAAACCTTTCTTAGTCATCAAGCTGAAGTAAACCATAACCATCCTAGGAGGAAAAGATTTTGGTAGATCCAAAATTAACTTGATCTTTTAATTTGTTTTCATTTTTGTTGGAAGCCTAACATGTAGAATAATCTGAAAATCTGATAAGAAATAAATGAATGTGCAGCTGCACCAGTAATAACTGCTGAACAACACAGGAGCGTGATCACAACGTCTTTTAGAATAAGAGCAACACAAAAACTATACAAACTCACAGTTAATTAAGCTGTGTTAAAAATCACGTGACCACAGAGAGGAAGACCAGGGCTTAATCGCCAAATACTGAATTTTGGGAATGTGTGGGTTAGAAAAAAAAGAAAAAAGAAAAATATGATACCAAAAACTGCCAAGGACGTCATTTTGCCTCTACAGGTGTGAATGTAAAACCACTAATAATTACTGCCGGGCTGGCAATGGGATGTTGAGCCAGGGGAGAGTGTGAGAACTGTGTGAGAACCGAACAGGTTGCTGGCTGTGCTGCACAGCAGGGGAACAGACAGACCAGCACGTGGAGAACTAATCTGAGAAAATACAGAATGAAATCCAGAGCAGAGCATCGAAACAGCTTTCAGACCTGAGCAGGAGAGCTGAGGAGGTGAACAGTGTGGACTGCTCTACGTTACTATTATCACTTAGAATGTGTTTCTAATGTTTTTTTAAGCCACCTGTGACGTCACAGCCCCCAAAACAACCCTTAAATACTCATTTGTCCAATCTTACTTAAAATTGGATAAAAATTAACTATTGACCTTATTTAAGAAATAACATCTTTGCCATTACTTCTGTTACTGCTGTACTGCTATTAGGGCTGGGCTATATCACGGTAATACCGGTGTAATGTTGGGCAACGATAGGAAAATGACATATCGTGACAGAATATGGGTAAAACGCGCATGCGCAGTGCCTTTGTTTACATACGCACATGGCGGCGACGCAGAATGAGAAGAGCGAAAGTGGATCGTTAAATGAAATGGATGAACCAGAATTGTTTTGTAAAAATGCTGCAACTTCAGTGGTGTGGAACTGGTTTAGCTTTCATCCGTCAGATACACAACAAAGCACTATTTTTGGTAGAGCATGCTAGCGGGCCGTCATTATTACCGTGTTTTTTGGAAAATACGGCACACTTAAAATCAATCCCTTGATTTTTCTGAAAATCGACAGTGCCCCTTATAATCCCGTGTGCCTTATGTGTGAATTCTGGTTGTGTTTACTGACCTCGAAGCGATTTTATGTGGTACACAGTTATCGAAAATCTGTCAAATGTTTAGCACGACTTTGCTAAACTATGAAGCTGCACCGCTTGATGGATTGTCGGAGCATTACGGCTTTTGTAGGCAGGAGCCTCGCGGAGTGATACAAACTGTGCTTCAACATAATATTAGCGTATTGTGTGTGTATAACCTCTTTTTAAGTTTTGTGGATATTATACATGTTCATGCTGAGGATATGTCGGCTAATTTCCACTGGAAATGTCTTTTGGTTAAACTGTCAGCAAGGATTTTGCATTTGCACTGTTAAATTTTTATATAACTTTAATGCACATAAAAAAAACAGCTGCTTGTTTAAGTGAAAATACATTGATGTTTTTCTTTTTGCACTAATAAAGTTGTGGAGTTGTAAAGTGTTTTGTCTAGTGTCAATTATATCGTCAGTTATATCGTTATCGCAAATTTTTAAATGTATATCGTGATAAATATTTTTGGTCATATCGCCCTGCTCTAGCTGCTATCATTTGCCACCAGGAGGGGTCATGTTATTATCTGCCCTCTCTTGTAGACTGTCTGATCTCACCACAGCATCAATGATGGAATGTGCACAGGAACTGTAAAGGCTCTTTTAAAATGTATTCTGTTAACGTCTAATCTGGCCTTGCTGGTCTTGAGTGTAATCTTCATTTGCACCTTGTTGTAAACACTTCTATTTCCAACATAAAGGAAATAGAAGTTCTGCCTTCATTGCAGAACTTGACATTGAGATTGCTGTCTCTCCTTGAGAGACGTGCCAAGGCTTTTTTTTTCTTTTTTAAAAACAATTGAAATAATTCTGTCATCATCTACTTTAGTCGTGCCTCAAGACACTTCACCCGTTGCCTACTGGTGGTGGTCAGAGGGCCCGGTGGCGCCAGTGTCCGGCAGCCTCACTTCTGTCAGTGCGCCCCAGGGCAGCTGTGGCTACAATGTAGCTTCCCATCACTAGTGTTTAAATGTGTGTGTGAACGGGTGCATGACTGGATGTGTAAAACACTTTGGGGTTCTTAGGGACTAGTAAAGCGCTATACAAATACAGGCCGTTTACCATTTACCATAGTTGTTTTCTGTGGTCTTTCAGGCCTTTTGGTGTTGCTGAACTGGTCAGTATAGGGCTGCGCGATATGACAATATATATCGGATGATGAAATTAAAATGTCTATCGCCTCATATCATAAGCTATCTCTTGTTTCGTGGTGTCGCATAATATTGTTTAAGGCAATATTTTTCATTGTTTCAATGGTCACCGTGTGGATGCAGGCACAGAGAATACCAGCATGACCAGTTAAGATGAGGCAGAACCAGGTAGCTCCAAACAGAAGGACCAGTCAAAACAAATGGAGGACCTTATTCCTAAAGGCAAGAGGCTACCTCTGTAGCATGGACATGGTTTGGTTATGCAACATCTGACAGAAAACTGTACTATGAAATCTATACTAAATTTTACCGCAAAACGGTCCCCCCCACAAACTCAAAGACAACAAACCTCTTCAATCACCAGAATCACGTGAAAGAGTACAGAGAGAGTTTACGGATGAGAAGCAAAAAAGAGCCGTCAAGTGCTCAAAATAAACCTTAGACTCAAACGTTAGAACAGGCTTTTCCCCGCAGCACGCCGTGTAATAAATACAAAGAAAATGGCGGCCGTTACAACTTATGTCTAAAAATGTATCGTTTCATGCATCGGTCAAAACACTCGACTCCAGGTACACAACGCCCAGCTGTGTTCAATGAACTTTCAGAAAAAGCACTATTTTGTGATATATGTCGTTATTGGGATGAGAACTGTTTGTATTGACATGAGACTTTGGTCACATCTCACAGCCCGAGGTCAGTACATTCATTCTTTGTAACAATGCACCAGATTTTCATTTATGTCACTCCTAATGTTTATGCTCTCTCTCTCCGATTGGTTTACGTGAACTTTTAAGCCCAGTTATTGGCTCCCTCACATCTTTGTAGCATCTTTCGGGCTTCCTATTTAAGGTCAAAGTGAAAAACTATAAAATACACATCGAACACTTTGAATCAAGTTTAGGAATCATGTATAAATAACAGCACTTTCTGAATATTTAAAGCTGAAGTTAAATGCAATGTGTTGGTGTACAGATAAAAAAACAAAAAAAATCTGTTGAAACTTTAGATCCCCATCATGCAAAAACAAACAATGGAAGTGGGAAATAACTTAATAGCACCAACCACAACAATAACATCACATCTGCAAAATGTAAAACTTCCTATGGAAGAAACTGTAACACTTCCACAAACTCACCTGAGGATTTGACTGTGAGCTTGATGGAGTGCTTGAACTCACTTTGGACGCCCTTATTTCTTCTGGTGTTCCTGGTTGTAATGCGACACTCATATGTTCCTGCATCCCTGATGCTGACATTCTTTAGAATCACTGAACAGTCTCCATCTTTCATTAATGGATCTCTCAGCTCCACTCGGCCTATAAAGAACGAGTGCTGGTAGTTTTCATATAGGCGCTGGTTTCTGTAGAAGAATACATAGCCATCGGACTTAAGCTCAGGTTTGCTCCACTCCAACAGGGTGATCTCCACATCTCCGGGACCCTGACACTGAAGAATGGCATCTTCTCCAGGACTCGCAGTTACCTCTGAGTGATATAAACACAAAATTCACTGTTTACTATGAGTAACAAACGGAGAATACAGATGAAAAAAAATAACCATACAAGTAAAATTAGTATTGTAGTTATTATTATTTATTTTCCGGCTCCTTCTTTTTAAAATGACCTTCAACGAACTTTTGTGTATCCTTTATTTATCCATCCAGGTAAAAAGTCTCCCTGTGATTACATATGCATTTCAAGAGAGATGTGTTTGAGAGGGCAGCAGAAACTGCAACAAAAACATTTTTATCAAGATATTTGATGTGTCAAATAAGACTGTATCTACTCTCTGAGTCATAAAGGCTCTTGCAAATCAGGTAATTTCTATATTTTATGTATAACAAGACTGCTGGCTGTTCTGAGCAGCAGGGGAGCTGTAGCTAAACTGAACTGAGTCCAGAGTGAAATCCGACAGTCTTCAGGCCTGAGGAGCGGAGCTGGGCAGTGCGGACACTGGATGAGAGGCTGCGGGCTTGGTGATCAGAAGCAGAAGTGGACGTGATGATAAACTTTGATTACTCGGATGTTTTACAGTAAAAGATGTATAATCTGTTTCTTATATTTTTGTAGCCAGGGTCATAAATCACATATTGTTATTACACAAAATGTATTGTAAACCCCAAACTGTTCCTGGTATAGCTGACTTTTAGGACCTGCAAGCCTGTAGTTATCTTCATTATTAGTTAGAGCCCCTCGTCATCCTTTTCTTCTTCTTTGGTACAACCCTATAAATTTGGGGTACCCCTACGGCCTCTCCCCTTTTCTATAATTCCCCTGTAGGAGAGGTCTATGTCATTTCTTTTCCGAGATTAATTATATCTTTATCCACTCTGATGTTTCTGATTGTGCGTTGTTAATTATTGTAGTAATCGTGTGTGTGTTAATGCTAGCATGAGCAGATAATTCCTGGTAGCTTTGAAGGTGTAGTGGGTTGAGCTAACTCTCATCCCAAGTGTTTGTATTGGGTATAGGAGCTGGAGCGGGCAAGTTGTTTCCGTGGAAGTCTTTCTTTTTGCCTTTCATTGTCAGGCACAGTGCAGGAACACACGGTTATGTTATGGTAAGGACTAACTCAATGGTTCATGCAGCACCCTCTGGTGGTTGTGCCGTGTGTATTGTATGTTGCAGTTTGGCAATAAACGGAGTCGCCACGTTAAGATCGAGCTGTCCCAGTGTCGTTTATGGCGTTGCTATTAAAGTCACGAGAGCTACCAAAACATGGTGTCAGAAGTGCTC